GGAGATCGATGTAATAATACAGTGCTCATTGCGTCCTTCTCTACGCTACAAAACACTCACTCGACCACACCCTTCTCTACACCACACCCTTGACACCCTCACCCTTCTCTACACCACACCCTCCACCACACCACAAACATAATTTATAAAAAAAAATTATATCACATTATAAAACCTAAGTTAATATAATTTTTAATACGTTTACTGAGTGTGTTTTAGTGTGTCTGATAATGTAAATATAATTCTAGTTTCCCCAGGCGGTCAAGGTTGATGGAAACTAATACGAAAATCGGTTCTATGACTAAATAAAAAATACATCCATGGAAAATGTTTATGTGTAACTATTTATAAGGTGAATGTGCACTAAAGTGTGGTAGTGTGTACTTTAGTGTGTACATATACGATAATGTGTACATGTGTTAATATTTACCTTAGTATGTGATCTAAACTTATATTTCATTGTCTGAACTCTTAACCTAATCTAACCTAACCAAACCTAACCAAACCTAACCTAACCAAACCTAACTGACGCCTGGATATGCACCTACAGAATAATCTTTACTAAACACGCTACAGTGTATAAAACTTTGGCCACGTGGAGAGGTGTGTGTCCAGGAGAGCAGAGCGAGTCTTCTCACAAAGCAGATTCTTGGCGTCCTTGAAGGCGGGTTCCTGGGCCCTCACGCGTGTTTTAAGGAGTCAACACTCTGTCACTCCCAAGAATATCTCTCCTTCTACCCATCCCATCCACATTTAAACAGTCTTGGGTGTCTTAGGGAGTTTATTAATATCTTATAATAAATGAGTGACAGGTAAGGTATCTCCCGTTTACCTATACCTGAAAAAATGTTGAACAGGTGAAAAAAGGTTCTTACCTGTACACGAAACGAGCTGATGGTGAACCGTCTCTTCCACAGTCTCGAACTCGACCAGTTAAGTAGATGGTAGATAGAGAAATAATTCATGAATACTGAGCTTTGTTAGGTGTCCGACAACTGCTTGTTTGTGGGTCGACGAATACAGAGTTGAGTAAAACTTGGATTCAGAGGAGGAGAGAAGGAATGATGGGGAGTGAAGGAGGGGAGGAGTGAGAAGGGGGAGTGAAGGGAAGGAGGAGGTGAGAAGGAAGGGAGGAGAGGTAGAAGGGAGTGAAGAGAGGGGAGAGGGTGAAGGAAGGGAGGGAGTGAAAGGGGAGGGTAAAGAAGGAGGAGTGAAGAGAAGGGGAGGTAGTGAGGAGGAGAGGGGGAGGTGAAGAGGGGGAGTGAAGGATGGGTGGGAGGGGGAGGTGTGAAGGAATGGAGGGAGTGAGGATGGGAGGGAGGAGGGACTGAAGGCAGGAAGGAGGGGTGAGGAGAGTGGAGGATGGGTGGGAGGGAGGGGGACTGAAGGCAGGGAAGGAAGGGGAGGGAGAGGGTGGGAGGGTGTATTGAAGTATTACAGGGACAAGGTAAAGTATGTGACGCCAACCTTGGTCGTGGTGTCATTGACCTCTGTGTGGCCCGTCTAGATTCCATCGAGTGGTTATGTTGTGTACTTCCCAGTGACGACTGACTGGGGTGCTTGGTACACACACACACACACATCTAGGTTAGCGGTCTTTGTTAGGTGTTGACGGGGGTGAGGGAGGGGTAAGGGGCGAGCTTCCACTGGCCTGAGTGTCGCACACTTGACCCGCCACACGACAGCTGGTGAACGGTCACGCTGAGTTGATGTCGTCCCCATGTGTTGTCGTCTAAGTGTTCATCCTCAACACTATCTCTGTCTGGTGATCTCTGTCGTGTTCTTGATGGTCCCAGCTGTCATGGTGTGGGTATTGCGGCAGGTCTTGGGTCTACATACCCCCATAATGGACTAAGACTTTTATAAACTGTGTAGGTCTTGAGTTTTATTACCTCATGACAACTCTGTGTTTAGGTTAGGAGACGAGAGGAGATCGTTAAGGAAATACAATTGACATAAGATCAGACAATAAATGTATCAGATGTTAAGACTAATAAACAATACTCAAGGATAATATCTCACTGTTGCTGTAAGGTTAGAACAGTTTAGAGGTTAAGTATAATGCTGTAGATCTCTCTTATAGTGACTGTGTCTTGCTAGTTGTGGATCATTACTAGGTGTTCCGTACTGGGTGTTCCATACTGGGTGTTCCGTACTGGGTGCTCCATACTAGGTGTTCCATACTAGGTGTTCCGTACTGGGTGCTCCATACTAGGTGTTCCGTACTGGGTGCTCCATACTATGTGTTCCATACTAGGTGTTCCGTACTGGGTGCTCCATACTATGTGTTCCATACTAGGTGTTCCGTACTGGGTGCTCCATACTAGGTGTTCCGTACTGGGTGCTCCATACTGGGTGTTCCACTGGTGTTCCGTACTGGTGTTCCATACTGGTGTTCCGTACTGGGTGCTCCATACTAGGTGTTCCGTACTGGGTGCTCCATACTAGGTGTACTCCATACTAGGTGTTCCGTACTGGGTGCTCCATACTAGGTGTTCCGTACTGGGTGCTCCATACTATGTGTTCCATACTAGGTGTTCCGTACTGGGTGCTCCATACTATGTGTTCCATACTAGGTGTTCCGTACTGGGTGCTCCATACTAGGTGTTCCGTACTGGGTGCTCCATACTGGGTGTTCCATACTAGGTGCTCCAGGCTACGAATACAGTCACACTTGAGCAACACCGTGGTGCATTACGCTACTGTCCTCGGTGTTAAGATCTCCTGACAGTGGTAACTTATCACTGACGTCGTCCTTGTGATGCTCTCGTCAGGCCGTGGAGCAGTGGGTAATGTGATGCTGTAAACACATCCAGTACTCTGGTTCTGTCCTTAGTCACGTTGGTATTCAGATCAACTGATTCTAGTGAGTTGATGGTGGTTAGTCTCGGTCCTATGGGGATAATGTATCTAATATTTATTTTGTTACATGTGTTTAATAAAACCATTGAAGTATTGAGCAATGGGTCTCACGCAGCGATCACTCACAGGTAGAAAGTTTTAAGTGGTGGTACAAAGCTCAGCTCTGACCTCATTCACAGTATGTAAATGTAAGTACGGCGGCGAAGGACACCCACGTGATGTAAAAAAAATATTCCGAGACGATAGCATCACAATTGGTATTCGGGATGAGGAACTTGGGCTCTGATGACCGTCTGAGGGAACTGGAGATCCCTCTCAGAGATATATGCCACAATATACCTAACAGAACAAAATATATACAATTACACATTCCTAAGTATATGTAGAAACGCCACCAGCCCCGAGTACATGTATTAGCCCACCTGATTCAGTACTGATTATTGTCCAGGTAATGTATACTGACATGGAAACATGGGTCGGTCTGACGCCTTCGTCAGGAATATTTTTATTGACATCATAAGTTTGGAGAGTCATAGTAGTGAGTGGTGGTGGCGTTCAGTGGGTGGTGGACAGTGTGTGGTTGTTGTGTGTTAACAGCTGCGACCTTGATGCTCGGGGGTACAACAGCGATTCATTATTGGTAAGTGATCATCGTCTTCCGGTCAGTGGTAGTGGTGAAGGTGGTGGTGGCGGTGGTAAAGGTAGTGGTGAACGTAAATTTGGTTAGGTTAGGTTGTCACTTGTGCTGGTGGTGTGCTGGGTCTCACTCCTTCTCTGTATGGTAAGCGGTCATTGTCATTCCTGCAGTGTTGTTGTAATACCGTGGAGAAAGGAACACTGCTGCCCTTGACACGGTAGGTACTCACGACCTGCACTCTGGGAGGCTGTGTCTGGCTGTGTGGTTGTTCTGAGTGGCTGTGTGGTTGTTTTTTTATCACACATTAAAGGTTTTCGTTTTATTCTGAGTTGTTGGTATTCAGGAAGTGTTCGTTGTGGTGAGGGGAGGGGGGGGGTGAGGTAATTAGCTGTCACCTGGGGATGTTACCTGGCCCCGCTGAGAGACTGGTGTAGGTAATGGCTAGTCATTATGTCTATTAGCAGGAAAGACATGCGAGGTTAATGACACTTGCTTTGTATTAGGGTAATTATGTTATGAGGTAATATTATTGGGTTGAAATGGATGAGGATGAGTGGATGACGGTGAGGGGAGGAGGATAAGGGTGGATGGTGGTGATGGAAGGATGGTGGTGATGGGAGGATGGTGGTGCTGATGGTGGTATTGGACGCACATATAAAGACTATTCGATTATGATGATGATGACAATACTTCACAATAAATGAGTGAACTTCCTCAATTACCTTTACTCAATCTTAAAAGAGGAAAAAAAACCCTCGTAATTTCCTCCTTTACTCACTTTTCCTCTAACCAGTCAATCAGTCAGTCACCCCCTGAGTATGGACCAACTGTGAACAAGATTATGTGGCACTGTTTGGGAGGCTGGCTGGGAGGAATGTGTGTGTGTGTGGGGAGAGGTGAGAGAGCAGTGTCGCGAACAAGAACCAAAGGTCAAAGTTAGCCATTTCAGGTCAAAGGTCACAGAAGCTAAAGGGACATTATCATGATTATATTTATTACATTATATTAACATTACCTTTATAATCTGATTAATTTTATATATTTCTAAAGACTATAAGATTATAATCCTATCGTCTGCATATGTAATTACCCGTATAATTCTGTTGACGTCAGTGTGTGTGTGTTTAAGTTGTAAGGTCAATAATTCATGATGTGGCCGACATGTACAGTACAGGAGCTGGCTTGAGTATTCATGATGACCGGAGAAACAGGAACTTCGGGTGAGTGGGCGAAATGTGTGGGGTGAGAGGGCAGGGGGGGTGAGTGAGGTGAGAGTGATGAAAGGGTGGAGTATGTGAGTGAGGTGAGAGGGCAGAGGAAAGTATGAGAGGGATGAGAGGGCGGAATTAATGGTAAGGGAAAGTGGAATGAATACCATGTGAGGGCAAGGAACAGTGTGGCTGGGAATGAGAGAACGTGAGAGTGTGAGAGAATAAGAGAGAGAGAGAGAGAGAATAATTTAGCCCAACAAGTGCTTAACCACATCCTCATTGACCACAAGACCAACCCACCACCGTACTGTTGTCGTCCTCACAGTGTCGCGAGCCTGGTCAGGGGTATGGTACAGTGGGAGTCACGGGATTTGTGTACTATACGGGTCATAGCTTAGCCTTTGGTCCATCCTTTCTGCCTTGTTTGGGTGTGTGTGAGTGGAGATGGATTTGATACTGGCTGAAATAATAGAGGTAAACCAAAAGGACATCTTGGGGGGCCTTGTTGTGGTAGAGAAACACTACTACAAAGGCTGATCGACGCCAGATGAAGGGAGCGTTAATGTAAAGTGTTGTTGTTGGACATAAAGAGTGGGGAAAAGCTATGATTTATGTTTATATATTTATTACGTATTTTTTATTAATTAGTGTATGCATCAATTTGTTCATTTTATATTGTTTATTGAGTATTTTTAAGAGGATATTACCGGATAAAGACAAATTTATTCACGATAGTTAATTTGATTATTTAGTTAAGTCCGAAATTCCTCAGATGCTTTTGTTTCAGTAAATATACGTAGTTGATGTATTTTCTTCTTTATTTAACACGAAATAAGTTGAAATACCAGCAGCGAACTACCCACTCAAACACTCCATCCTGAAACATTCACGAGTCAGCTCAGTGTGTCAGCCAAGGGTGTCTGAATATTTCCAAATCAGACGAGTTTGTATAACCAATTGGGCGGAATAAAGTTTTACTACTAATATTACTTCACTGTTGATCGTAACCTTCCTTTGCCTCCTGACTGAAGGTTCAAACACTGGGCCATTGTACTGCCAGACCATAATGACATCATCACCACCACCATCGTTGAGTATCGCATTCATTATAGCTGCGTCAGATAGCCATATGAACGTGTTTCCTGCGCCACTGAACCATTGGACTTGAGAATTATATATGGCATGACCGTTTATACAAGTCCAATGAAAAATATAAGAAGTAATATATGTTTAGGTATAATAGAGCTTTATATGAGACATCACTTGCGTATTTGTTTGTGAGTTACTTTGTACATAACATAATAGAGGTTCTATTTCACTGTGTATATTACTTATGGTTTTATTGCTGCCATTAATTATATATATATTTTTTTAATCCCCAAAGTTATTAAGTACATACATATTAATATATTTCCTCAATTATTGGTGTGGTAATGTCAAAAAATATATATTCGTATTCACATTAGAATGTTTCCTGGCCGAGGGTGACATGCAACTGTTGTGTGATTATCTTTTGTTCTCCTGTTGCTCTCTTTCACTTTTCCTCTTATTTTTCCTCATACCTTTCCTTTTACTTCTCCTCTCTTACTTCCTTTACTTTTCCTCTAACTTCCTCTTACTTTTCCTCTTACTTTTCTCCAAGACCTTCTCCCTGGTTCTGGCCCAACAAGGAGTGACTACTTAGGATTTTTCTTTCATCATCAACACGTCTTTATCGTAAGTCTTTTTTTTTTGTATAAGACTTTAGATGGTCTTCCCGGAGGAGACATAAAATGGCCGCCTTTGTTCTCGTGTTCCAGTGATCTCCAGCATCAAATTCTTCTTTCCTTTGAGAATTTCTTACAGTTTTGGGGGGGTTTTCTTGTTAGTAGACAGACAGATAGACAGATAGACAGTAACTTGTTCCCTTAGTTACTGATAGTGCCTGATGGAGTGATCATGTGAGGTGGTGTGTGTGTGTGTGTTTTTCACGTCTTATACTGCTCGTGGTAAGGGATGCTCTCCTCTGGGCCTTCCATGTGTGGTGGCCGGCCCTCCCGTGTGTGATGATCGGCCCTCCCGTGTGTGGCTGACCCCCAGGTGTGGTGGCTGGCCTCCTGTAGCTGGCCCCTCACGTGGTGGGGTAGAGATAGTGGTGGTGCGGGAACACTGTATACTCAGGTGACTCGTTGCTGTGATGAGAGGGTGACTAAAGCTATCTCACCTTGACGTGTCTCTCACCCCCCTTCCCCCCCCTCTCTCTCTCACACACACTCTCCATCCTCTTACAGTATTTTTCTCTCTCCCTTCCTTCCTTCCTTCCTTCCTTCCTTCCTTCCTTCCTTCCTTCCTTCCTTCCTTCCTTCCCTCTCCCTTTCATCTCGCGCATATTCAAGCCAATATCCCGGTCTTAGACGGGAGAGAGACGGAAAAAGGTATTGCTAATCTCGCCTCTTTGGCCAGCAAAGCCAGATCACTAACATCAATATTTGCTTCGTGTGGGTCATGTTTGTGGGCGTGGGTGGGGGAGCGTGAGACTGGGCGAGGATGAGAGTATGTGTGTGGGTATATGTTCGTATGGGTGTTTCTGAGGGTGTTGGTGTGGGTAAGTATGAGTGTGGATGTCGGGTGAAGTCGTTGGTGATGTGGGTATGTGTGTGGATGTGTGGATAGGTGGGTGTAGAGAGGGAAATATGATCATCCTGCCTCCATCATACATCTCTTGATTTACATATTAATGACCATAACGTTATAAAAAAAAAGATGTTTATTTATGTTGTTCACTAAAAGTCGTAACTGTGTTTTCTCTATGATACTGAATTCACCTGTACTGTTGTGACGCCCTGATGAATAATTTAATACAAGGGGTTTACCTGTTGGCTGATGGTTAACACACGTTGCTATATCACATCATCTTCAAACACGAGGGCATTAATAGTGTTCCGCTGAGATACTGGTTTAGACGCTGCCGATAGTCAACCAAAGATTGAATAGTGTTCCTGTGGCCCCAAAACAACAAATTATTGACGTTTTGTTGTTATTTAAGCCTACGGGAGGTTGAGAATCTTGCCTAACAGGAGCGTATTATTTTCCTTGATAATAGTCCTCACCTCAAGACCTGCTCACCCACTAGTAGATGCAGTTCCTTCCTGTTGGATAATACGACCGACGGTTTATCAACACACAG